TTTGCCGGCCAGGCGTCTGCACACCATGAGTGCCTTTGTGTCTTTAGATATCGTTAACTCCACATGCCTATTCCACCGCAAGGTGGAGTCCAGTGTGATGCCTAAGTATTTTGCTTCCCTGGACACTTCTAACTCTCTGCCCCAAGGGATAGTATTCTAAAGCCCGGAAGAGACCTTCTTTTTGTGAAAGGGATAGTAGTTTCTGCAATCCTAGTATGCAGTACGGCCTTAATCCATCTGTATAAAGGAGCTTCCACGTTCCTTTTCTCCAGTGCTCTGATCACGCTTGCGTGGGACGCATTATCAAAAGCGCCTTCAATGTCATAATGGAAAGTAGATATCGCAACCTCATTGTTCTCCAGCGAGTTCTGGATTTCAGTAGTTAGTTGGTACAGAGCAGTATTAGTAGACCTACCTGCTCTGTACGCGTGCTGATTTGCACGACACTTAGAAATCATATCATCCCCATTGGAAAACTCGATAGTATCACCAACTTAATATTTTCGACGACGGCAGCGTGAGACGTCAGTAGCGACGCATAGTGTTGGTGTCGTGCTAGTAGTATTAAATTCCTTTGATTGTAGTTTGACATTCTTGTAGTGGGTAGCGGTAAAAGAAGTGTAATGCATTTTGCCAAATTTTATACCCAGATTACAGAGCATACATAGCACAGTACACTGTGTAACAATTTTTATTTTGTTAACGTATATGTCTGGGCGTATGTGCGACCGCTTGATATTTTAAAATGTTATTAAAACTTTTAATGACTAAAGCACATAAACATATGTAACTATACTAACACTATAACTCATCTTATCGATATTGACGACATACTTGTATTTAGGTAATAATAAAAATCTCACTTTATTATATATTTCAAAAGATTTTATGAAATTCATCATGAAATAATCCAATATGTACGTATACATATACTTATGCGCTTTGATATCAAATATATACAGAATATGTATAAATTATATGCAGAATCGGTGTAAATATACCAATCTGTAGGCGTACAATCCTTAACATTGAAATTAGCATAATTTTTCTCTTTTAACACTGAAAATGCTTAAATCTGCTATTTTCGAGTCTGCTGGGGTATAAATATAAATAAATATTATGGTGAAATCAGTTAATAATTTTTTGTGGTGGAATCCTCCTATCGTGCAGAGTATCCCTCCGAAAAACGGAACATTTTGACAATAAGCACACCATGCACCTTCTCTATGAATCTACGTTCTCTGTCTGCAGTGCAAACTGCGCGGACTTGCCAGTATTTTCTACTTACCGAAAAATCACATACTCAAATAGAATTAAATGAACGGATTAACATACCGCAGTATCTCAGCCACTCTTTTCGGCGTTCGGAAACTGAGTGAATTATAATCAGAGTTCCAGAACTGAGAACGCCGGAATATACAAGGTTGTGTCGATTGCCTAAAAACAACAGGTTGTCAATGGTTTTATTCAAAATGTTAAATTCAGCTATTTTGTTTTGTTTGTTGATTCAAAAATAAAATTTTCAAAGATTTTAACAACAAGATCACGATTTCTTGGCGCCCTGATTTGATAGTATGGACGGATAGAGGAGGTCCTTAGGATTGTAAAATGTACACATATACCCGCGTCAGACTTATAGTTTTCGAAATATTTGTATCTAAAATTCTAAAATTGTAAAAGTAATGCACGCTATTTGACTATGTTCAACACACTTTGCACAAGTTATTTCACGGCGAACTTCTTTACGCACTGGCAGCCTTCGGCCGCGCTTCAAAAAAATAACTCTGGTCGGTCCAGCACCGGTTTTTTTGCGTTCAACTTCTTTTTGCACCGGTGGCCTTAAATTTTTTAATTACTTTTTTACGACACAAAATCTTACGCTGGTATTTGTCATAAAATAAACTCAGATATTATATCTCTTGAAACTGTGAGTGTGCCAAGCCATTTGTAAAGTGTATTTATTTTCCGAAAAAGCGCACAATAAATCTATATTTTGGTTATGTGTACATTATAAGTAAAAATTAAAACATTGAAAAATTTATGCAAAGTGTGATAATTATATTATATTATAGTGAAATAGTGTGTATTAATTTTACAATTTTTGAACCTTAAATACACATATATTTTGAAAACTTTAAGTCCGAGGCAGGCATATTTTTTAATCCTGAGGATCTCCTCTATCCTCCATACCATCAGATCGCGACACCAAAGAAATCATAACTTCGGCATTTTACCCACTGAAAATGCGTTTATTGTGAGATAACTAAATACGAATACATTGTAAATCATACAGACATACATGAACAGAAAATTTATGAGAAAAACAAAAGAGATTAAAAGTTTTTTTGTAAGAGGAAGCACGCTCCGAAGTAACACAACCTTATATAGTTGAATTATGGTTTGTAGAATGTTTGAAAAATAAATTTTTTTTTAATTATGAAAATTAAACAAAACAAATTACTGATTATGTCCACATGTTGTTTTTTCTAAGTTGTCGAATCTTCGAATAGAGTTCTTGATGCTTTGTGTTATTTGCATACTTCAAAGAACATATAAATATTGTTCTATAAAGTTATTGTATTTTAATTATTTTTTATTTTATTTTTTCTTAAAAAAACGCTAATGTAAATATTTAAATATTATTTCAAATAAAATGCCACTAGTTCTAATAAAATTAATAGCACTGGATTAAGTTTGCACTATAAGCTTTTTTGCATTATTCAAAAATAACATTGGTGCATCGAGTGGATTACTGTGGTATCTTAAAATATTAATTTTAATATTTTCGTTGTTTTATTTTTCCAATAATGCTGCATTATTTTTTACAATTTTCGACGTGGATTGACTCAGCAACAGTGCATCTATGCATTTGTTTCTCTTTTTGGCGATAAAGCTCCATCAAGGAACAATGTTTATCGATAGCATGGTCGATTCAATCGAGGACGTAGATCACTCCACGACGAATTTGATGCTGTGCGCAAACTGATATTGCATGATCGTCATGTGACCTATCGTAACATTGAGACAACTATAAGCATTAGTGAGACCAGCAAATATTCAAAATTGTATGAACCCACAATTTGTCAATCGCTCAAAAGAAAGCTCGTGCCAATTGGTCGATAGAAATGTTAAAAAAAAAAAATACGATAGAGGTGCTTCGGAACACGTCTATGACATCGTGACAAGTGATGAATCCTGGATTTACGCGTATGAACCCGAAAGTAAACAGCAGTTGACTGTATGCGTGTTATAAGATAAGCCGAATTCAAAAAAAGATGCACACGAAGCTCTCAAGCAAATGATTGCCAGTTTTCTTGGTAAAACTTGGCATGTCGCAACCATACCACTAGAATAACGCAGAACAGTAAATTCTGAGTGGTACACAAATATTTTTTTGTCAGTTGTTTTTAAATAAAACAAAAAAAATGGTTCACTTTTCACCACGGTAATGCGAGTTTTCACACATTTCCTTAAACAACTGCCATTTTGAACATTCAAAACATCGATTTGATGAGTCATCCACCGTACAGTCCTGATTTGGCATCGAATGACTTCTTTCTATTCTCGTACGTAAAAAATAAACTAAGAGGTCAACTTTTTCCGACACCTGAAAAGGCGGATGATGCGCTCAGAACCCATATTTTGTAGTGGCAAAAATGCTTCCACAATTGGTTCAATCGCATGCAAAAATGTACTGATCTTAATTGACAATATTTTAAAAACAATAAAGCGATTTTCGATTATCAATATTTCATTTTGTTCTCTAATCTCTAAATATAAAAAGCAACCCTCGTATTATTTGTTTTTGTCGTAAAATTAAGTGCTGACAAAACCAAGTTATAGGTTAAAGTCAAAATTTTCATATTTCTAAGCAACACGTTTTTTTTGCCCGAAATAAATACTGCAATATTGCAGCAGATCATCAGCAACAGAGTATCAAGTTAGTAACAGAGTTGCAGTATTGCGGTAATTATTAAGCAGCTCGAATGCACCCCTTTTTGTTGCACTTGTGTTAAATAGTGGTCGAAAAGTATATTATTTCCAGATGTCGATTTAATCCATAGAATCATTTTAGCATCTTGAGGCGTTTGTGTATCAAGTAGAAGAGGACGGATTTTTCCTTCAACATGTTTTCATCTGCTGGACGTTCGGTCCCCAACGAATTCTTGGATTCAGGAGAATTAAATAATCAATTTTATTGACTCACTACCAACATGTTTAATTTTGTATTCTACTGCCCATACTGTTTATTTTAATTGTTTAATTGCAGCCTTTTTGTAGTCTGCTAGCTTAGTCAGGTCAGTTTAAATACCGGTTAACGAATATTCAAGTTTCCGAATTTTTTCGGTGATTGGATCAAGGTATTTTTTAAACAATGCCTCTATGCGTTTGGTGAAACTCGGTGCGCTGGTGGAATCAAAGCATACATCGTCGCTTTTCTCTTCTGATTCAGTATTCAATTCCATCACACTAATCTCAAATTGACATGACTGACAGTACCAATTACAAATGCCTCTCGTTATTTTTGTTGAATATTGCATTTTCCAGTTTACTACAAGATATAGGGAACTAATGATTACACTTTCTGCAGCAAATACTATTATTATTGGCTTTAAGTAATTTGTCACATTCAAAATATGCGTGTTTACTTGTTGCCATTTATTTTACTCACTTTTCTCAAGTTAGAGCAAAATATTCAGAAAAACTGCCCACCTTTCATTTTTAAACAACTATTTAAAATTAAGTTCAAATAGAAATTCTTAGTGAATAAAACTGAAGCTACATATCTTCCGTATGCGTGTACGGAAGCAGAACTTCTATGCGTATTCGAATCCAAATACGATTCTCGTAGCGTTGTATGCGTAAACACGCTTAAGCCTGTGTGCTCATTTATCTGTCGTACGAATACGCATACGCAAGTTATGCAGATTCAGCTTAAGCCAAGCTATACTTACATATTTAAAATTTTATTTTCAATATTCAAACCACATAAATGTATATTAAAAGAAATCAGCAAAAAAATTATATATTTTATCAGTCAAAGTCACTTTTGAATCCACATTTTTCGTTATATATTTTTGATAAATTCCAAAATTCTGCTGGGTGCTAGTGAGGCGATACGATCCCTGTGTGGAAACATGGATCCCAGGGCCTTGATTCTGCGTCTGCAGACTGCTGTGCAGTACATCAGCAGATGCTCAGGGATTTCCGGCTCTATGTCGCAGAACCGGCAGTTTGCAGAAGAGGCTATGCCCATGTTAAAGAGGTGCTTCTTGAGCCTGCAATGGCCGGTGTAGAACGCTGCCAGTAGCCGGAATTTGTTTCTGGGGAGATCAATTATGGCTTTAAACCGCTTGAGGTCGTAACCCCCCAATAGCAGTCTGGCATGGTGCATGCCCTGAAGTTGTTGCCAATGTATCTCCCTGCTTGCTCTTTCCTCCCTTCGGAGGAGCTCTTTGATGGTATGTGGACCAACCGCTATGTATGGTTCCGGCCCTACCATTTTTGTGGAGGCTGCAGAGCGGGCTAACTCGTCAGCTAGTTCGTTCCCAGCTATACCCCTATGGCCAGGCACCCAAATAAGGTGTACTCGGTTTTGCTTAGATAGGCTGTTCAGCCGTTCTATACACTCCATCACTAGGAGAGATCTGACCTCACAGGCTGAGATCGCTCTTAGTGCCGCCTGACTATCGCTGAGTATAGCAATACTCTTATTGCGATAGTTGCGTTGGAGGTTCATCCCTACACACCGACTTATAGCATAGACCTCCGCTTGGAAAATGCTCGGGAAACTTTCCATGGGAATGGAGAGTTTGGTGCTTGGCCCAGCGACCCCTGCACCAATCCCCTCCTCCGTTTTCGACCCGTTGGTGTACCACTTGATGGTGCTACCCCTTAGCAGCCGGTCCAGTGAAGAGTCATTCCACTCAGATTTGCTGCCAAGGGTTACTTGAAACTTTCTGCTGAAGTTTACTACTTTGGTAATGCTATCCCTTGGGAGAAGGGGTAGTGGTATTTTCTCACTTAGCTCTTTCATCTGTTGGGATGAGATTACCTTCCCTTTGCCAGCTCCCTCTGCTGTCATTTGGAGCAGAGTTCCTTTGGCAGTCTGTTTGATTACCAGGAGTAGCGGTGAAAGTTCTAGCATTACTTCCAGTGCTGCAGTCGGACACGTACGCATCGCGCCCGACGCGCAGATGCAGGCAAGTCTTTGCAGCTTCGACAGTTTAAGTCCTACCGAAGTCTGCGATGCTTTCGAACCCCACGATACCGCTCTATACGTGATAATCGGTCTCACGATCATGGTGTACATCCACCTGATAGTCCTTGGGGAGCACCCCCAGGATTTTCCAGCAAGTCGGTGGCCACTAGTCGCTTGTACGTTGTTGCCCCTCTGCCGCTTGGTGTTGTTCGGCACCTGTGGCGTCAGCTGTCCGCTTTTACGCTTAGCTGCTTGGGTGGTCGAGGAAGCTGCCCTTTCGCAACCTCGGCCTGCGGGCTGAGTTGCGTTTACTGGGTAGTGGCCTCGATTGTTGCAATTGCGCTTCCTAATGGCCGCGGTATTACCACCCTTTTGCTTTTCGGAAGCCGGGGAAGTGCTGTCACCTCTCACCCTGTTCCGCGCTAGGCTTTCTGCTTGATATGTGTAACTTGCATTATTTTCTTTGACATCAAATTTTACTCGTTTATGAAGTGGTTGTTGCACAACATAGCCATGTTTTTGCTCTGGTGAAGATACCCTGATGAAATATTTATTCTCTAAAACAATCTTCACAGTATTAAATCCTGTACTCATTTTGTGTTTAAGGTCACTTTCACTATCGCTACATTCGACCGGTGAAACTGCTACATTTATATTTGAGAAAGGCCATGTTTTCTTAAACGGAAAACAGCCTTTCGTGTTATCATCAACTTCCTGGTAACTTTCACGTTTTAGTTGTTGCTGAAATGTATTCATATTAATTAATAATACAAAAATATAAATTCAATTGTTAAAACGCAATTGCGCGTTCAAGGTGGTGCACACTTTACAAATTATTGCAACCATAACTCTATTTTACCCTATGACCAGGGTTGCGAATTTTTTAATTCAAAATCATTGGAATTTAAAATTTTAAACTTCATTTTTATTCCTAAACTAAGAATCAAAAATTGATAAAACTTGCCAACCAGTGCTTTAGAGTATTGAACATCTACCTCAAAATGGTGGAACACGACGCACGTATACGCGAAAAAATTTTCGTTTAAAATAATTTCTTTCTTTCAATCCTTAATTTTATTCTTGGGATTTTTTTGTTTCATTCCGGTATTTATGATTAAAAATTAAGAAAACATTTTTTATAAAAATTTTTATTTTTTTAATTTTTAATCCCATATTTAAGATTAAAAATTTAATAAATTTAATTCAAATGTTATTTAAAATTTTGTATGCATTATGCCTATGACTGACAATTCAAACTGTCCAATATATAATAAAATGTCTCTTTGTATCATCAAATATTGTGTTTCTTAAAAAGCGTTAAAAAAAAATAAATAAATTATCACAAACTATTGGCATCAAATTGATTATTGTTAAAGTTCCTACGCAAATTGCGACATATTCGTAATTCACCTTACCAATGTTTTTCTGATTGGATAATCGGTTTCAAAATGTTTAATATTCTTCTTCCTAGAAAGATACGATACTTGTTATAACTTTCAAAAAATTAAAATAAATAGAAAAAATTATACACCTGGTAGGTTTGCGTTTACTAGATTCTTTGCGCAATGTCTTTCTACACTGGATATGTGAATCTATAGTATCCCGGATACAATTTATCCATGAATGGACAAGTTGTGTATCTAATGAACTGAATATGATCGCATCGCCTTGACAAGTAATTTTAAAACTGTCTGGAAACAGTTCATATACTTTACACTTTTTCAAAGGAAAAATGCAACAGCACTCCAAAGCATTTTCTATTGTAGTGTTTATTTCACGATCCCTTAATATTTTACAGTACAAAAAAACGTCAGACATTAGAACACAATACCGTTTAATCTGAGATCCCGTACGAGATATTTTATGCAATCGTCCTTCTTTAACAATTTTCCTTGATGGTTTAATAATTTTAGGCGATCGATTCAAAAACGAGTTTTGTAAATTAAGAAGCATTAAAGTTACTTCTTGCTCCTCCACACATGAATTTATATGAGAGACAACCGATATGATTTGCTTTACAGAATCTAAATAGTTAGTATGTAAACATATATTAAATAAGTATAAGTAAACAAATATAATAAAAATAAATCCATGACATTCTAAAAAAAATACTCAAATATTCTTATTCTTCAAGAGCTAACTTTTTTAGTTTAAATATCAATGTGGTAGATGTAAACTTACTTATCTGTATATCATATTATATAAATGGTATATATATATTAATGTTACGTAGACGGTTATGCAGATCCGACTGCCGCAAGTATAATTGAACTCGAATATACCATCAAATACATATGTATATTAATTAATAGCTCAATTGACTTGACTATCGGTTACGTTAATTACCAGAGCTTTCTGTTAAAGTTTCATAATGCTGGAAACAATCACCGACATTCCGCCTTTGCGTACGTAGCACCCGTATCAAACCAAATTTGTAGTGGCAAAGTAGATATCAGATGTTCTCTTTTGACCAATGTTGCCATTGTTCTATTTTTATACACGATTTTTCACACATTTAACTTTTTAGTTATAATTTTCATAATGTAAAAGTTCAAAACTAAAATCCAACTAATAAAAAAACTTCTACCTATATATAAATAAATGTATTCGACTGTGATTTTGAGTTAGTTTAAGAATATTTCAAATACGTACGGGCTGTAAAAGCGGACGGTAGAGGCAGTGGTGTGTGTTCATTTACATTGCGCTCTTATAAGATAGGTCGTATCAGCGTATCGGTCTACGGTTTTGCGTCGGTGACTGTTTCCAGCATATGGCTGAATAGACATTACTACCTGAAACGTATGGATGTGATTGCTTATGCTTCATTTAGTTTTTTAAAGCAAGATGTATACATACTGAATCATTATCCCCATCGTACGCATAGATCTAACGAATTAAAACGTGTGTATGTGTTGGTATCTCTGCCAATTTTTCCAATGTATTTTAGTTTTGGGTAGTCGTGACTAGTTTTACGTTGTTGTTGTAATAGCGCCAAAAAATATTCCTGTAGCAATTTCGAACAATGGTTTCGAGATGACAGTCCTCAATTACCACAACATCCGGTTCTACGTTACCGGAATTGGCCCGGATTTCATCTGCCCAAGGGTTTTTATTTCGGCGATGTAACCCAGTTTGAATCGGTAAGTTCTAGGTAAAGTTTGTCGTCATTGGAGCAACGCCTAGCAGCAAGGTTGCTCCGTATCCTCCTGACCCGTGCTGCCATCGAGTCCAACTCGGGCCCCGAGGAATTTTACTGCTGCGTTTGCGCTAGAAGGCTCCATCCAAACTCCACCTCGGTTAGGTGCAATACCTGCTCAGGCCTTAAGACCCATAGGGAATGGACCACGAGTTATGTGGCCCCATGCTGCCAACGCAATTCTGCGACACCAGCCTTAACGGTTGTGCAATCTGCGCCATGTTCGCTCACTGCGCCGCCACTCCAGTCGAGTGGCCAAGATAGGAACTCCACGGCCCTAAGGAGCTCACACAGACAGCATGACTCCCAGTCTGACCAATGAATGTTCGTAGGGGGAGGGAGCTGGCGGAACAGATTGACGATTCGACATTCTGCACAATCAATGACGAAGCTCCCACCAGAATTATGAGCACCTGTAATAGCTCGCCTGATGTTTCCATCGCTAGCGGTGGTCTGATAAATATCATAACCTGGCGGCCTATGCTAACTCTCGCATCAGACCATCTGCCCATAATTATTCGATCGAGAAACCTCCCGACTTAATTTCTGTGGACAATCGCACCTTTGTTAACTTTAACAAAGCTAACTGGGTCGGTTTACAGAATTTACCGAGAGCATCTTCACAGCACTACTCATTCTTAGGGACGTCATAGTTGGCGAGCGTCAATTCCGCAAGTTGATCGCTGCTGCTACTGCTCGCTTCACACTGGCGGGAAGAATCGCGGAACTCCGCCCTAATTTTATAGCCAAAGCAGCTGTACTAGCAAACGAGCGCGACACCTTACCACCATGCCGATCCCTGTGATCGCCGAATAAGGAATCCCAATTTGGATATCCGGCAAATGGTAAACCATCATATGCGGACAAAATGGATAGAGCACCTGAAGTCCTGCAACCTCTCCAACGGTGTGAGAAAGCTGTGGACTACTGTCAAGGCTCTGTCAAATCCGAGGATACATGATGATCGGGTTGAAATTCAATTCGATGGCCATGCCTCCTCGGACTCGAGGAAGTGAGCGAGCTATTTTAGCCGGCAGTTTACACTGCACCCTTCGACTGACAAGGCCAAACGATGTGTTACCCGACGGCTGTGCAAAATGCCAAAAGACTGCGCACCACTTACTCTCACCGGTGGGGAGGTTCAGAGTGCCATCACAAAAGCCAAATCGTCCAAGTCCATTGGCCCTGACGGAATTAGCATGCTGATGCTAAAACATCTAGGCTCGACGGGAGTAAGCTACCTCACCAAGGTTCTAAACTTGTCGATGGCCACTCTTCAAATACCCGATGTGTGGAAAGTCGGAAGAGTGGTCCCACTACTGAAACCTGGGAAACCCGTCAACAAAGGGGAGTCTTATCGCCCGATAACTCTCCTTCCCCCAATAGTGAAAACACTTGAGGCCTTGTTACTCCCGAAGTTCACTCACCACCTGAGCCTAACAGATCATCAGCACGGCTTCCGAAAAGTGCACAGTACCACCACAGCACTTAGCGTCATAAACGCCCAGATTGTTCATGGCCTAAACCAGAAGCTACCCTGCGAGAGGGGGATCCTCGTAGCGTAGGACTTGTCGAAAGCCTTCGACACAGTCAACCACGCAACGCTACTTGAGGACAACGAACAATCTTAACTCCCTCCAGGGCTGAAGCGGTGGACCATGAAGTACCTTAGCGGCCGGCATTCATCCGTACTGTTTTCAGGTCAAACCTCCAAACTGAGAAGAATTAAACAGGGGGTTCCGCAGGGTGGGGTCCTCTCCCCTTTACTGTTTAACTTCTACATCTCGAAACTCCCCCAACCACCAAAGGGAACTTTCGTGACCTCGTACGCTAATGACTGCACGATATTGACGTCGGGCAATGGAATCGATGGCATGTGTTCAAAAGCAAACAGCTACCTCTCCGATCTTTCTCGCTTCTTCTCTGCAAGAAGCCTAACACTCTCTCCCACTAAATCCACAGCGACCATCTTCACAAATTGGACGAAGGAGTACAGAGAATATTTCAGTCGATGGCACAAAAATTCCGACAGTAAATAATCCTAAAATTTTAGGCGTTACTTTGGACAGTCTGTGCTCTTTCACTCTTCACACGACCGCGATACCAAAGTACAGAGCCGCAACAAAATCCTCAAGTCGCTTGCCGGCAGCTCTTGGGGAAAAGACAAAGAAACGTTGTTGGCAACGTACAAGGCACGGCCGATTGCCGGTCCTAAATTACGCAGGCAAAATGGTCGCCTGGATGCAGCGACACGCAGAAGTAGAAGCTACAGACCTGTCAGAACACTGCACTCCGAACTATCACGGGATGCCTCTTGATGTCTCCAATCGAACACCTACATAGTGAGGCCCGTATGCTTCCGGTTAAGGAACACAACGAACTCCTCTCCAAGCAGTTTCTACTGGGGTGTTTTCGTAGAAACCACCCCTGTAGTCGCCTGACTGTAGCGGAGCCGCCTCCTAGGAACATCAAGAGGTCTTTCCTTGATTACGTCGACAGGCACTGACCGCCATTCACAGTGGAGACATCAACGCCTTCACCGACTCCCTCTCAGTGAATGGCGTAATACGAGTCAAACTACCACCCATAGCAGACGTAGAGCTCGAGTTGCTTCGCGAAACCAGAGTGACCCTCGCGCAACTTCGGTCCGGATACTGTAGCAAAACTCCTACTTATTCAGAATAGACCCCGACATACTAAACACATGTCCTGCGTGCAATGAGTCTCCGCATGACACTAACCACCTCTTTGCATGCCCAACAAACCCCACCCATCTAACACCCTTCTGCCTATGGTCCGACCCCGTCGAAACAGCTCGTGTGCCTCCCGTTAGATGACCTCGACGACAAAGAATCTGGAATTTATCACCCAAACGGGGACTAGGTAACCGTTACAACAACAACATCAACAACATGACCTCGACGACAACCAATCTGTAGATATAGAGCTACATAATTATCAGGAATACGATAACATGAGCAAAGGTTAATATCATGATGAGCATGGATAAAATTATCCGAAACTCTTTGATTCGAGAGAGCGTTTTCAAAGTCCACATTTTTTATAACATTTGACAGTGGTGCCACTGAGAAAAGAAATAAATTTTAAGATTTTTTAATGTTTTTCTTGGGTATTTTTCGGTTTCCATTTTACAGAAAAATATACATAATTAAAATTAGTTTAACAAGTTAGATATCCTATATGACGTCTAAATATATGTACATATATATCACAAAAGATTTTCAAAATTAACGTTTAAAACTAAATTTAACAAAATATTTTAATATTTCAAAACACTTACAAGTTTTAAGTAACCTAAACATGAACCTTTTTTCTTTTTATACACTCTATAAATAAATATCTTCTGATAATTTATTCGCAAGTCAAAGTTTACATAACATTTGCTGGGGATTCTAACCAAAATATGTACTGCTAAGCAAAATAATACTCTGCGAGAAAATACCCGCACTTTCTTAAAATCAAAACTATATTAAATCTCTTTAAATAAAGATTAGAAATATACGTAAAAGTCACCAAAAAATCTGATCTCACAAATTATAAATTTACAAATTTCATTATAATGAGCAGAGAACACATACATATATATGTACATATGTATGCTAACACAAAGACAGAATATAGAAATTTTCTTTCAATGATTTTTAATTTCCTTAAACTCATTGAAATTGCGATTATCCAAAAGTCAGTCGTTATAAAGCAACTTTGGTGAATGTATAGTTTAGATCCTCCAATGAAAGAGGCCGCGTAATTTATAATTTTTTTATATTTTATAATTTTTTTTTTAAATCATCTTTTTTTGATGCGAAGATTATAAATCAGTGAGCGGAAAGTGAACTTTCAACAATTTATGTATACTTGTATTTAACACACTTTGCACATATTTTCAAGTAACTTAGTTGTCGTTTTTGTTGTTGTAGGAGCAGAATTCTGTAGAATTCAGACAACTTAGGTGTAGTTACACATTCAATGAGTTAGACATTTTCTTGTGAAAAAAAAAAATGGTGAAGATATGTAACAGTTACAATTTCTTTTACCTCGCGATCTGATGGAATGGACGAATAGAGAAGATTGTCGAAGTCCTTTCTGCACTGGCGCACGAACTATGGACACCCCGGTGTTGGACCATCAGGGTTATTTTTTAGAAGCGCGGCTGAAGGTCGCCACTGCGGAAAGGAGTTCGACGATCTCCGATATTCGTTCATACCATCATTTTTTTCACAAGAAAATGTTTAGCTAGCTGAGCTGGTAATTACAGCTAAGTGATCTAAATTCTGCAAACTTTTTCCGCTACAACAACATTTAAGTAAAAATGTAACAGTATCAAAAAAAAATAATAACAGTTACAACACCATTTGGCAAAAAAAAGTAAAACAGTACCAGCTAAAAGCACACCTATTATTTTGTAGATACACCTCTACAATACTCTAATTTGATTTTTTTTTTATAACTTTCAACTTTTTCAAATAATAGAGAATATAAAATAACGATTAATAAGATTTAAAGAACTTCTTACCTTTTAACAATTTAAAATCAGTCTCAGATGGACTTGTATACAAAAGCACTTGTTCTAAAAGTAATTTATATCGAAGTAAGCGTTGTATTGGAATTATCATCAAGGAATTCAACGTATGCTGTACTTCAGGACGTGTCTCAGTCTGAACAATAAATTTACGAAAAGCCGGATTTTTATTTCCAATTTTTTGGAGCATAAGTAGTACGTTTTGGAAATCAAAGGCGTAAACAGAATACAGTTTTAAAAATGGAGCCATCTTAAGAAAAGCTTTCGCAACTTTATCTTTATTTTCTTCCAACTCACGCAGTAATTCCTCATTTAAATTATAAATCATTTCAATTTGTCCAAATAAAAAAGAATGGTTATGATCATCAATTAATGTATGAAACTTTATCGGTTTAACGAAGTAGTTCATAAGTAATTCCAATTGGCGAAGATAACTTCTTTCTGAAGAAATTATTTCATCCACAGCCATAAACCTTAAGGTTTTTCTTTTTTCTCGCTCATCTTGGTACGATAATCCACTGCCATAGAATCCTATAAAATTATTATACTGTAGCTAAATAACGCATTAACTATTTTATTTACTAACTCATATTACAAATTTCCACCCGATTTCGCTCGTGTAGAACTTGATGGAGTTCTTTGTTCAAGTTGAGCATGATTGGTGGTACATGGAAAAATTTTTTTATTCGTAAAAGCGCTTTCTCTACTTACAAATCGCTGAAATCGTATTAGAAAAACGTTAATTCAAAACAAAATTCTCAATAGCGCGAAAAAACGTAAGCAATCGACTTTGACGTCATGTCAAAGTGCGTTAGCAGAGAACGTATATCATAGAGAAGGTTCAATTGCGGACCAGCGTGTGAATTGTCAAAACCTAACAAGATTTTATTAGTGAATTTCACCAAATCTGGCTCGGAAGGAGAAATTTTAACAGTAGCGAGTGAACAGAGCTGAGAATTCAATGAAAATTATGCTCAGAGACTTGCTTTGATATTACAGCTGCATGTTAGCCTTTTGCCTTATATTTTTATACGTTTATATGCAATCATATTTATTGATATGAATATCATTTTGCGAATTTTTATGAATGCATGCAAAACTGAAAGATCTATTAAATTAGGGAATTTGGAAATAATATTTATAGTCAATTTGGGCATTTAATAATAATATTATATAGTTTTTACATAATATGCATTCCTATATAATTTTATATCTTTTATCATATTAATCTTATATAGTCATATGTACATTTATCTGAACATGCGCATTTGAATGTACGCATTCAGAAATTCAAATCATAATTTATCACTTATCAATACACTATATGCAGAGAATGTTAATAAATATATAAATATTCATATATTAACATTCTCTGCTATATGTGTGTACATTGATTTATATGTCAACATATATATGTATGTATGTATATTGCCAACAAATAATGCATACACAAACCAACCTACATACATATGAATATCCGTACACATGTAAATATGTCACCTGCAAAAACTACAAACATTGTTCTGCAAAAACTACAATCGTCACAAGTCAATATGTCAGCCAAATAGCCGAAGCCAAAATATATAGTAAATCACACAACAACAACATTTTCATTCATGAACGCAGGCGTACTTTCGACAAGCAACCTCGCTTCATTCATAAAAACAGATACCCTCACATCCCCCCGAGCATGCTTTTGCCTACAAGCGTATTTTCACGACGATGGCAAAAGCTAAAAATCATAAATTGAACAAATTTCTGATATTCCCTCTAGAAGGGAAAAGTGACAACTCCGCAAATATGAGTATTAAAATATTTTAGAATAAAAGTGACAACATAGTATATTTGTCGATTTACAACTCAAGAAACTTTTTAAAGAAAATATTCAATATTCCTCTGATTTATGTAAACAGTAAACCCCGGTTAAGTATCACTCCTCCAATCCCTCTTATCTGCCTGTGGATTGCTGCCTCTCACGTTTTTTTTCCTTAATTTTTTTAAGGAAAACGGTAATTTTTTTTTAAATACATAGACATTATTTTTTTCGTACCACTCGCTTAAGTACCACAATCGCTTATGTACTACAAAGCACAAAAAATCTGCAACTTTGGTTTTGGCACTTAACCGGGATTGACTGTATTTGTCAAAAAATGTACGTAAGTGCGTATGTATATTTGAATTTTTTGTACACACATCTGCCCGTATATATGCACATGACTTGTTGACTTTGTTTCCATTTACGCATGCCACGTTGTATATGAACAAGGGTTGATTTTGCACTTGCCATATGCGATGTATGTTTGTAAGAGTGTGTATGGTTCTGATTTCCCATGAAACAATGAGTGTACATATTTACATACATACGTTGCATATAGACAAATTAACAATTATAATGGGTACTTTCATTAAACAAATATGACATAATTATACATATATATGTATAAGAATATTTGCGACCGCTTGGTCTTTCCTTATGGGCTGAACATGGAGGAATAATTAATTGTATAAAATAAAATAAGTTTCTATACAATACAAAAAAAATTAATGTAATGCATTGATTAAAAAGAAACTTATTACGGTTTATTTTTGTAGCACGATTCGTGAGCCGCCCTGTATATGCAGAATATCTTAAAATTATATGTAAATTCGTTTGCGCATTGTAAATATACGAATCTGTAAGTGCACTTTTACACAGGGATTCAAAAGAGTCTGATGTTTTTCAAATTTTCTTTTGGTGTCGCTCTGGGCATTCACACGGTCAAAAAGAGTCCACCAACTCGAGTCTAGTTTTTCTGCATTCCTTTTCACAAAATTTTCGTAAATATTTGTGCGGTTCGACTGCGCAACACTGCGTGCTGCGTATTTCATTTGTATGTTGAGATGATGGTCACACATTTTGCTTGCAATGAATTACCATGAATATGGTAGAACAATATGCATAATACAAGTACCTACCCGCTAAATAGTTTCAAAGAAATACTAAAGACGGGAATTCCCTAATCCACAAGAATGTATTGAATATCCGCTACTAATATTTTCAAGGCCAAATTTATAATAGGAATTTCCTAATCTTTAGGTATTAAAAACTCATAATTTCTTTACTCCGTATTAAAAATTCATAATTTCTTTACTCCATAATCTATATCTTAATTTTCTCCTTATTTACAATTTGTCATAATATTTCTATTATTCTATGCATACGTATTTGCATATTACATACAAAAATAGATAACAGAACTCAAATTTGCGATCGAATTCATTTGAAACCGAGCGCTCTTGCAACCATTCAAAGAATTTGAAAGTGAAAAGGGTAGCAGCGAGCTGTTACGAACAAGAACACAAAGCGTACCACCCGAACACGAGTGGCACGGTCCCTTCGTCTTTCCTCGTCGTCCCCTCGCCCACAATAAACTGGTATGAGACTCTTTTGAGTCCCAATGTGAAACGGCACTAAGCGTACATTTCTTAACATTGAATTTAGCATTATTTTTCTCATTTAACATTCAAAGTTCTCAATTCTGCTATTTTGCGCTCCGCAGGGCTAAATTCTGAAGAAATCAGCTTATAATTTGTTTGTGGTGAAATGCACTAATGTTGGCGAGTAACCCTCCGTCAAGAGGAACAAGGTGATATACGTTCTCTGGCGTTAGTCCAACGTTATGCTGAGAACATAGTGCAACTCCTCGCAACACATAAAGATTTTATGCATCACTTGTTTCTATTTAGCAGTCTGGTTGGGATTGAGGATAGCATCCACCGCATTCGGGGTTAAAATGGATATGTACGTATATAGCAGGTTCTCCAGAGTCAAATAATATCACATATATCGTTGCCGCTGACGTATGGTTTTTGAGATATTTGCATTTAAAGTTCAAAAATTCAACTATTTGCAGTGCGTGTTTCTTCTAGAATGAGTTTTACACTCATATATTTAACTTATATATCCACTAAAACTTTACTTATTCGTTTCTTCACATTTTTATATATTAAATAGTTTAAATAATATCTTAATTCAATATTCAATTTTTGTTTAAATCCATTTATTCATACAATAACAGTGACTAAGCCAAAAACTGAATCAAAGTATATTTTACACTATTGAACATAAAAAGAAATGTGTTGAAACGAATAAGTGAAAAGTTTAGTTAGGATATAAAAATGGAGTGGATATAAAATATTAGTGTATATTCATTATATATCGAAGAAACACGCACTTTAAACAGTTGAATTGGCTGGGATTTAGAATAGCATCTCCGAGTTCAGGGTTAAAATGGGTTTGTGCGGATAGAGAGTGTCTACGAACTTACCCCTGGCCAAGATAACAATATCATCCGCATATCCTTGACAGCGGATGCCATTGCTGGTTAGCAGCTCAAAAAGATCGTTCACAACTAGGGACCAAAGTAGGGGGAAAGCACTCCACCCTGTGGACAGCCTCGTGTTGTGCCTAGACGAATTCTGGTATCGCTTACTGTGGTTTCGGCTATACTGGTGCGCAGTACAGCTTCAATCCATCTGCGTATCGGTAACGTCACACTCCTTTTCTCCATTGCTCTTGACACGCTTTTGTGAGATGTATTGTTAAAAGCACCTGCGATGTCTAGGAAGGCGCATAACAGCACCTCACCCCCATCTAACGAACTTCGTATCTCTGAGGTTAGCAGATACAGAGAAGTATGGGTTGACCTGCTTGCTCTGTGAGCATGCTGCTTCGCATGTAGCGGTGCAGCCTTTAGCACCTTCGATCTTATTTCATGATCAATTATCTCTTTCATACTTTTAAGTAGGAAGCAAGTTAGACTTATTGGCCTGAAGGATTTTGCCATTTTGATATAGTCTTTCCTTCCTACCTTGGGTATGAAGATCACCTTTGCAGTGCGCCAAGGTTCTGGGATGTATGCCAGCGCTAGGCTATCCCTCATCAGCTGAACAAGGTGGGGCAGTAGGACCTGCTCCCCCTGTTGCAGAAATGGTGGAAGAATGCCATCCGCACGCGGGGACTTATATTTTTCGAAGGAGGCCACAGCCCACTTGGTGGAGTCTGCAGTGAAGAGCTGTTTTGCGGCTGTCCAATCTAAGCAATGCTTAAATTCCTAATAACTATAAATTCAAGTAGAGACTCACCCCATGTATTGCAGTCTGTGCTGCCACATTCCATGTGATGGGCGTTGGCATCGCATCCCATGACGAGGGGCAGGTTGTTCCTCCTGTAGTATTTCACAAGGTTACCGACGGCCTCTGGGGGTGCTGTCAGTGTGTCACCCGGAGAGTAGGTAACTGTCAGGACGAAGTCCGCTGCCTCGTTACTTTTAGCCTGCACAGCGACCAGGTCTTGTGTTAGGTACTCTAAAATTCAAAACAAGTCAATATCGTTCCTAACGACTAAACAGGTTCTCACCGCGTGGTGCGGGTTCACATATGCAACTTCTGTTTGTGGACCCACTACAGGTTCGGTTCCGTGAGGAACTGCTCCTCATCTTTGCCGTCCTCCGTGTTGCCACGCGCTAGGTCCTTGAGTCCCTCGAGAAGCTCTTGTGTGGAGGGTAGCACACCACTTGTTCGCCAGCCTTCTCCGTAGCGATCTTCACCATTGTCTCTGCAGTTGCCGCCTCCTCCGACGTACTAGTGCCGGGTTGAGTCGCAACCTCATCTACCA